AGCTATCTCTCTCTCTCTCTCTCTCTCTCTCTCTCTCTCTCTCTCTCTCTCTATGTGTATATGTATATAGTCATATTTCTCTAACAGTTACAGATCGCGTTGAGTAAGATATACATAGAAATAAAGAAAGCAAAACTGAAAAATGACCGATATACCGCGCATTATGGTATTCCGTCCCACCTGGGAGGAGTTCAAGGACTTCCCCAAATACATAGCCTATATGGAGTCACAGGGCGCCCACAAAGCTGGCCTGGCTAAGGTGGTGCCGCCCGCTGAGTGGGTGCCCCGTCGCAGTGGTTATGCAGACTTGGACGCCTTGAATGTGACGATTCCTGCGCCAATTTGCCAGGTGGTTACGGGAAAACAGGGATATTATCAACAGATCAATATACAAAAGAAGCCGCTGACGGTTAAGCAATTCAGCGAATTGGCTAGCACCGAACGCTATGCCACACCGAAGCACTTCGATTTCGAAGATCTGGAGCGTAAATATTGGAAGAATATAACCTACGTGGCTCCCATTTATGGCGCCGATGTTAGCGGCAGCATCACAGACTCTGACCAGGATGTAAGTGTTAGGTGGACCCAACTGAGAGTCATTTTTTCATGCCTCCACAATTTCCCACAGAGCTGGAACATAAATCGCCTGGGCAGCATATTGGACTTTGTCAACAAGGACTATAATATACAAATTGATGGCGTCAACACTGCCTACCTGTACTTTGGCATGTGGAAAACGACATTCGCCTGGCACACTGAGGACATGGACTTGTATTCGATCAACTATCTGCACTTCGGTGCGCCCAAAACGTGGTACGTGGTGCCGCCCGAGTATGGCAGACGCCTGGAGAAGGTTGCCAATCAGTATTTCCCGGCCAGCTATAAGAACTGCAACGCGTATTTGCGACATAAAATGACGCTCATATCGCCACAGATACTTAAGCAGCACAATGTACCAGTTAGCAAGGTAAAATTAATGTGGATTTGCCATTGGTCTCGAAATACCTAAGAGACAGAAATTCGAGCTGGCCATATCACTTCATTTGGTTAGCTGCAATTCAGTAGTAGACACCTTGGTTAAAATAACTAAGTGTGGGGGTTGAGACCGGCTCGTTTCCAAAGTTTGGTGCATCAGGAGACTTTTCTAGAAAAGTTAAAAATGTCTTAATAATATAAGGAACGAAAAGATACTCGACTATCTAGGATTCACTTGGTTTTAGAAACCATGTACATTTCTAAATAATTATTGATAATGGAACAAAGAATTGTGTAATCCAAATGATATCTCAATATTTGATTGTCGAAACAAACTTATCAAATGTCTATTCCATATGGATCTGCGGAGTACAGTTCACAGTTCTGTAAACGAGACTTGTTTACAAATGATTACAAAACCAATGCAAAAGCTCGAGAAACGCGAGTCTGTTTGATTAGCTAACGAGAAAGACAGCAGTTCTAGAGTTGGGAAATATAGGCCAGCTCGAATCCAAGATAGGCGACTGTAAGGTCCCAAGTACTCAATGTTTTACCCATGCTCCACACACAGATTACCCAGGAATCAGGTGAGATTATGATCACATTTCCTTTCGGCTATCATGCCGGCTTCAATCATGGCTTCAACTGCGCCGAATCCACAAACTTTGCCATGGAACGCTGGATCGAGTACGGCAAGCGTGCAACGCAATGTACCTGCAGCAATGACATGGTCAAAATCTCCATGGACACATTTGTCAAGCGTTTCCAGAGCGAGCGCTACGATGCGTGGTTGGAGGGGCGCGACCTAGGCCGCCATCCAGAGGATCCGCCCAATGTGGTACCAACTGCGGCGCCGCTGCCACCGCATCTGGATGTCCTCCTGTGTGATAAAAAGTGGGTCGCTACCGAGCACCTAGAGCTAGTCTTCAATAATAACAATTCCCCATTAATCACAGAATGAAGAAGCAATGCAATCCCACCAAGGCGAAGAGCTTCAAGGAGCGCAATCCTGATCTGGACTTGGATGAAATCCAACAGAATCCGAATGTGCCCGACGACGTAAAAGCCATGTTGAAAGAGAGCGTGCTTACGCTCAATGAGGAGGAGACGGAGTACACGCCCGAGGATACAATGAGCCTGCAAAGTCCTGCTGACTTTAAGACCAAGCAGGAGCTGCTGGAGTACATGGACGATGGCACTGGTAAGCAGCGAAGACAGCCAACGTTTAGATCAGCCCAACAGTCGATACTTTTCATGTTTTCCTCTTTTGTTTCTCCACTAATCTTTGCAGAGGACGACGACGAGGAGGAGGACTTTAAGCGGCGCAAGCAGAAGCGTAGATACGACGCTGACTACGATGATGATTGGCTGACGAGCAAGCGTCGGAATAACTCGCGCAACAGCAGTCGTGGTCGTAGTCCGCGCGCCAACAAGGACGATCGCTCCATATCGCCGGCGTCCTCCACATCCACGTCCTCCACATCAAGAGGGGCACGAGGGGGTGGAGCGCGCGCCAAAGTGAGCTCCACACCACGCAAAACGCCCACAAAGCGAAAAAAGGAGGCGACTGCCAGCAGCAGCAGCAGTGCAACAACAACAACAACAGACAGTGCAGCAGCAACAGTTGCAGCAGCCATTGAGAGAAGTAGCAGCAGCAGCAAAGTTGGCGCAGGTGAGCGCAACAGCAGCAACAATTTGATCAGCAACAGCAACTGCAGCAGCAGCAGCAACAGTAGCAACATCAGCAGCAGCAACAGCCTCTGCAACGCCACAGTCACAACAACAACTACAACTACAACAAGCATAGTCACATAAGAACCACAGTCACCATCATCTTCGGCAACATCCAGCTAATCCAGCCAACCATAATCCAATCAACAACAAAATAACCATTGACTAACATTTTAATCCGATCGATCTCCCATTCACAGCCGCTTTTGTCAGCGATTTTTTTTTTAAATTTTCTTTTTAAATTCATTGCCATCATCGTCGTCGTTTTAGTTTCTCGTCTCCTATTTGTGTTTTGCTTTTACTGTATTTGTACACTTGTCCTGAAATTAGAAAGTCTTGCTAAAACATAAGTCGTCAAAGTTGTGTCCTAATTTGTAAGCGCCTGAGAAATATATGAGAGCACTCTATTCATATATATATAAATATATATATATAAAGGAAACTTTATGCTAAAAACTAACCAAAAACCAAAACTGTTTTACTAAAAAATAAAGGACGTTCTATGCATGGGCTCTACACGCAGCTCAACTTCTGGTTGGGCTTCAGTTTCAGCTTCACTTTCGATTTGCTTCCGCTGCAGCTTCGTTCGCTTTTCCTACATATGTATGTATAGAAATATATATATATATATATATATATATATGTGTGTGTGTGTGCGAGTATATATATATATATATATATATATATATATATATATAACATGTGTGTGTGCGCGTGTGTGTGTCGCTTCACAACCCCAAACGCTTAACTGCCGACATATAACAACCACATCCAAACCAACATCCAACATCACAAACAATCAAAAATCCCCTAAATTGTCATGTAATAACAATTTCGAACGCATTTTTACAGATGCCAAACGCGGGCTCAGCGAGCAATCACAGCAGCAGCAACAACAACAGCAGCAGCAACAGTTGCAATTCATGCAACAGTCGCGTAAATTCGAAGGCAAAATACCAAAACTAAATCAACAGCAGCAGCAGCAGCAGCAGCAAGCGACAACAGCAACAGCATCTAGTCAACAACAGCAACAGAAAATTACCAGCACAAACATGTTGCCCGCAGCCAACACTCTGAACGGCATTCCACAGCAGCAGCACCAGCAGCAGCAGCAATATACCAGCACAGATGGCAATGTCTATCAGCTGCAAAATGAAATTCTCTGTGATGCAAATGGACAGGCGACAAGCGCAGCAGCGGCCACATATCACACAACGGCCGCTGCCGTGGCCAGCAGCAATAGCAGTCCGCAGCAACAAGTTGCTACCAGCGTTGCCGGTAAGTAACAATTTCTTTCTGCCAGAATTCGTAAATCTTTAAACGAAACCGTAAAGAAAATCCCTATCAATTGCGTTTGTCGTTTTCGTAGTTTGTTTTGCTTACATTTTGTGTGCTCGACTCTGGTTTTGGTTTATCATTTATTATTAGACTAATTTACTAACTCTTTTTTTTTTTTTTGCATTACTTTAACCATACTAATTGGCAACCAGTATTATTCAATGCCATTTATATACCTACAGAGCGCCAATCAAGTCATTATCATCATGCAACTCATTAAAACTGTAGAAATTAACTTTTGATTTATTTTTTAATTTTCAAAGTATTATTGTTTTTGTGCCAAACATCAAACTGCAGCTAACAACGAAACGATGAAACAAATTGTGATATTCAAAAAAAAAGAAGAAATCAGTTAAAATTTCCATTATCATTCAATTAAATGTGTTGGTCTTCCATTTGCGTTGTTTTTATATACAAACTGAAATTTAGAAAAAAAAAATAAAAATAAAAAAAATTACTGAAACAGAAAAAAAATAACAAATCGCTTTTCAGTTCCCTTACACTTTCCACACCTTTTTAGCTCATATATATATTTAAAACTTTTCTCGTGCTCAGCATATTTGTTCGTATTGTCATTTCTGTTTTATATTTTAATGCAATGCAGATATCGAATAACTGCAAAAGAAAATAAATATCATATATTTAAATGCACAAGTTAGGCCCCGACATACACATACATATATTTATAACGAACGTCAATGAATATAACTAATAATATAGCAAAGCGCATTTGACAAAAGGCTCAAAACTTTTTTTAGTTCTCTTATATTTAATTAAAGTATGTATTTTTCAGTTTATTTACAAATTTTTAGTTTAGCTCTTAAGTTTGTTTTTTTGTTCTGCTGTTCACAATGGAGTCGATGCTAAATATGAAAGCACTAGATTAATATTTTAATTCTGAAAGAAATATTTTGAATTTTTGGATAGTTATCAAAGAATTCAATTATTATTTTAATTTCGTCTAGTTTATCAAAGCATAATTACAGAAATTATATTAAAAAACTGTTCAATTGAATGAATGAAATTTCTAGTGTTTTGAAATGTTGAAAAGTGCTGCCCATTTGCTTTGGAAGCTGTTCCACACCGCAATGTTCACATATCCGAAGTGCTGCCCAATTATATTTATTTACTCAACTCCAGTGTGAGCATAGCGCGTAGTTTATTTGAGTTAAATTATTTGTAAGTATTTTGCACTCATAGGTATATATATTAGTATTATTTTGTTTTATTCTTAGTTACTACAATTAAGAGTGGCCAATGTCGAATTGGAATAAACACACGTAATTGTTGAATTAGTTTTTTATTTTTGAGCAACTATTATAGATTTGTTTGACATTAAAGTTGATTCAATTAACGTTTGTATTATTGAATGAAACACGTATACTTACATAATTTGTAGAAATTAAGTAAACACAAATTGAAGCGACAAACGAAATATGAATATAAAATCCAATTCACTCACTTTTTTCGTATGTAGTAAATAAAATTTGCACAGCATTTTATTTGGGTATTTGATCTTTGAGTGAATTGTTGATTTCGATTACGATTACGATCACGATCACGATCACGATTTCGATTTTTCGAATTGATTTATTGATTATTTATGCAAATATTACATTGAAACACATCTTTTATATGAACCGAACCGAATATGTACTTTCAATCAATATAAACAAAAGACAATGTGGTCACAACTATTAGTTCGTCCTCCATCCTGCATACGAACGCCACCACGAATGGAGCCACGGAACAGCAGCAACAGCAGCAGCAGCAACCACAATATCACTATATAACCACAACGGGAGAGGATGGCCAAACGCCTACGACGATAGTCTTTGAGAACTATAACGGTGGCATGCCCACGACGGCGGTTAGCGCCGCCGCAGCGACGCCCATCGTCAGCAGCGTAGATGGCGCCGGTGGTGCAGGTGCAGGAGTGGGCGCGGGTGCTGCTGGCGCAGCAACAACAACCACAACCACGGCGCTAGTCAACACGGATGGCACGATCATCGAGTTCGATGGCAGCACCTACGAGGAGTACCATGTGCTGAAGAGCGAGAACGGGAGCAGCGATTGCCTGAGCAATGGCAGCAGCGCCGTCGCCGCGGACATCATCAAATACGAGCCCCAGCATGTGGGCGAGGATGAGGAGATGCTGGAGGAGGACGAGGAGAGCGGCCTGCAAGTGAAGTACGAGGAGCAGAGCATGGAGCACGATCATGACTTTGAAGAATACCAAGTGATCAAGGCCGAGGTGGAGGCCGAAGCAGCCGAGCAAGCGGCTGGCACCACTAGCTACACAATCAGCGGCCACGACGACCAACACCAGCAGCAGCAGCAGCAGCAGCAGCAACAACAGCAACAGCAATCGCAACACGGCATCAATGATGCCATTCCTGGCATGCTCTCCAAAGCGGCGGCAGCTAAGCAAAAGCGGAAACGCAAAACGCGAGTCATAGCGGAGGACGAGCAGGGCGAGTACCTGGAAAAGATGAGCGTGCGTGGCTTGGACATAGCGCGGTACGAGCACATCATCGATGGGGTGGCCTACTGCCTGGTCTGTGCAAAGAACGACATCTTCAAGACGTTCAAGAACAAGTACAGCTTCCAGCGGCACGCTTACCTCTTCCACGAGGGCCAGAATCGCAAGATCTTCGCGTGCCCCATCTGCAACAAGGAGTTCTCGCGGCCGGACAAAATGAAGATGCACAAAAAGGACAAGCACGGGGACGTGCCCATGCCTCCCAGCTCCGCGGCGAGTACGCCGCAAAAGGCGGAGGCGACGGGCACGCCCGCTGCGAAACGGGCGCGCACCTCCAGAACGCCGCGCGTGCGCAAACTGAAGTCTGGTGATGCGGCCACGCCCACCAAAAAGCGTTTGGCGCAGATTGACAGCGTGCTGGATGAGGTGCAGAATGCCGAAGCGGATCAGCAGCAGCAGCAACAACAACAACAACAACAGCAGCAGCAACAGCAGCAGCAACAACAACAACAACAACAGCAGCAGCAGCAGCAACAACAACAACAACAGCAACAGCAACTACAACAACAACAAGCGGCAACAGCTCCACCTCAGCAGCAACAACAGCTGCAAACGTTGCCCTCGCTCGACTTTAGTGGCATGATACTCCCAGGAGGTGCACAGCTGGCGCTGGCCAATCCCGGCGCCAGCAGCTCCATGACACTGCAACGTGGCCAGGCCACGCCCACGCAGAATGCACAGCCGACGACGACGACATTGATCTACTCGAATCAGCTGGAGTTGCAGCAGGCGCTGCTGCAGCAGCAGCTGCATGGACAGAGCATCATGATCCAGGATCAGGCGGGCAATCTGGTGCCGCTGCAGCTGGACGGCACGCAGACCATTTACACAACGGCGCCAGCGCCGCAGCAGCGGGCGACAGCAACAACGTACCAAACGACAACTCAGCAGCAGCTGCAACAGCAGCAGCAACAGCAACAGCAGCAGGTGAGCAGCAGCCAGGCGCAGACACAGCCCGCGCACTATGAGTTGGACAACGTGACCTACCTCAGCTCGACGGCGGCGGCCACGCCGACGCTGCCCAGCGATCAGCAGCAGCAGCAACAGCATCAGCAACATGTCATCGGCACAGTGCAAAGCTACCAGATACTGACGCCCGATGGCCTGCAGAGCTTTCAGCCCAAGCTGGAGACCGGGGAGTTGGGCGATCTGTGTCCGTACACAATGAGCGCCACAGCCGCGCCTCAGTACACCTTTACCACGCACGCGAGCACGCAGCCCACGCTGAATGCGAATGCGCTAGATGCCCAGCAACATCACCAGCAACAGCAGCAACAGCAACAGCAGCAACAACAGCAGCATCAGCTGCTGCAGCAGCACCAGTTCAGCCACAATCCGCATCAACAGTTTATGGAGCTAAAGAACGAGTTGCTGATAAAAAGCAGCGACGCCTACACGCTGGATGCCTCCTCCATGTACCACCTGCCCTTCTCGCCCACCTCGATGATAAATGCGGTGAACGATGTGAACACCTCGTCGCTGCTGGAAACCAAAGAAATTAGGTAAACACACTCGAATAACTCTCTCTCTCTCTCTCTCTCTCTCTCTCTCTCTCTCTATCTATCTATATCTCTATTTATCTGTCTGCATACATATATATGTATACATATACATATATATATTTATATTTATGACTATTTGATTGAAGTATGCTACTCGCTACAATTTAAGTAATTTTTTTAGTGTAACACGCGTTCTCGTTTGATTTACTCGCTATCTCTCTCCCTTTCTGTTTCTGTCTATTGCTGTTTCTCTCTCTCTCTCGCACTCTCTTTATGAGTTCTCTTGCGTAGTCGACGGCGGCGCTGCGTATTTGCTGTCGCTGTACCGTTACGTTGCGTTCAATTCCATTTCGTTTCACTTATGTTTTCGACTAGTGTTGAACAACGTCGCGAACATTACTAAAAACACACACGCACACTATTTTCAAATAATATCGCCTTTTCAATCTGAATTGCGAATTAAAATACAACGTAAATGCGCATTAACAAGATTTTTTTTTTTAGTTTTTAGTAAATTTTTCTGCCGTTTTTCTCTAAGTTTATGTATTTAAGTATTTTGAATTAAATAGATTGATATTATAATCCTATTTCTGAGTATGTAACAATGTTGTCTAACTTAGTTTACCTTAGTTTTTTTTATATTTAAATTTGTGCATTTATTTATATCATATTTCTCTCTTTTGTTGCTTTCGGTTACGAACACTACTTCTCCAGTGCTCTAAAACAGAATCTTTAAAAATTAACATTTTACCATCTACAAAAAGGAAATACAACTCACATATTTTAATGAATTTATTGTACATAGACATTCTCTGTTTGTTTTTTATTATTTTCACTTCCGCCGATGATTTAAATTACAATGAGTTCAATGCGATTTTGTTCTTTTTTTCTTTCTTTTTCTCTTGTTTTATTTTATGTACACAAAACCAACCCACCAACCAACCAATCAATCAAACGATAAACTAACGATAAAACTCGTCTATGAAATACAAATGAAACTTTAGCTACGATATATCAGAAGCCGTGCTTCTAGCGCTCTGAAAAAGCAATACGACCGCGAAATATATAAAAGCGACAACTGCAGCCAAAGTACCAAAAAAAGCAACTTAAATAAAAAAATAACACAATTGAAATTTTGTATGAAGAAATGATAAAATGAAAATTTAAAAAATTGAAAAGCAACGCAAATGGATGCCATTTACAATGCGAACAGAAAAAGAAAAATAAATAATTTAATTCGTACATCTCAAATATGTTATAAATCGTAAGGCTTACTCATAATACTCATTTAACATACACATTTTGCAACACTGAGCACACTGGCAAGGATGAACTCGCATACATTCAACTTATACAACACTGCTTGATGGTGTGTGAGCGAGCGAGTATTTGTGCATGTGTGTGTGTGTGTGTGTGTGCATACGGCAACAGAAAACATCACACTTTTTATTCATTTTTGCGCACTCCATAAAACATTTCATTTGCATTTGCCTCATAATGGACGCCCTTCCGACACACTCACATTAAATAAAAACTAAAACATAACTTGAATGTACATATATTTATATATTTATAAATATGAAATTGGACACATTAAGTGCAAGGTATGTGTACTTTTTTAATTCGGTTTTTATTTATTGTTAAAATTTTGTTTTATTATTTTGTTTTTATTTGTTTGTTTTTAACCAATTTTTGTATGAGCGCATTCATATCATAATCCATGAACCATTATCCCTAAAACATTATCCGTTCCCTGTTAACACACATCCAGAGCACGCTGTTCCTTACTTCAATGTAAGGAAATTTCTTAACGTTTTTGCAGTGTCAGGCGGGGCGTAATCTTTTCAATTAGAATATATGAGAAAGAAATCAATGGGGATCTAATAAATCTGCTTTTTTATTTTATTTAAAGATATTGACAAAACTAGAGTCAACTAAAAGTAAATAGCTTAAAAAAAGTACAACAATAGTATAACCAACCCGATGGAGGTATTTTATTCGCCAGTCCGGCTAGCTATGCCCCACTTCACAGCCAAATGTTGTCAGTGATACTATTGAAACTATGAAAGGACAGTGTTAAAATGGAAAACTTAAAGAAAGATTATAAAAGAGCTTAAATATAGTTACGATAGATCGATAGTAATATAAATTTTCGCTTTTATATCGGAATGAACTTAAATACAGTCAATGATACATTGATCAGTTTAAGGGCCAGTGCTGTCTGTGTCATTAAGCAACAACGATTAAATCAATTTTTATTTGCACCCCTTTTTGATTTGTTTTAAACATTAATTGGCTCAGAAATTGGATATATTTGTTAAGCTTACAACCACATCTTTCCATATCATGTACATAACTCACCTAACCACGTACACACACACACACATACATATACATGTATTATAATTTACTAACCCAGCAACTAAAAAACCCTTAAATTAATAAGAATATCAAAAATTATGCAAAATGCTAATCAAATTGTTTACTCAACCAAATATTTTTTTCTTTTTCTTCATTTTCCTCAACAACTTTTTGGTTCGCCCGTTGTGTTCATGTTTTGTGTTGTTTTAATGTCATATTTTTATGATTTGCACACAAAAATTCATATACAACAACAACAACAACATGCGCCAACCACCACCACCACCACCACTACCACCAAACAACAACCACAGGTTCTTTTAAACAACAACAAGCATACAAGAACAACATAAACAACAAGAATGCGCAGTTCAAGCAGCCATACACACCACGCAACAACAGCAACATTCAGAACAACATGCACAACAACAACAACCACAAGAACAACAGCAACGATCGGCAACGTCGCCATCGCGAAGCGAATCGAGTATATTACGAAGATATTGTCGTGCAGCATGGCAGCAACGGCAAGAGTAACAGCAACAGCAACAGTTGCTTTCAAAGCAGCAGCAGCAACAGCAATCGCAGCGCCTCTGTCAGCTTCGTCGACAAATTCGCTGACTTTGTAGCACATAATCGTAGCAATTCGAAAAGCGAACGCGGCTTGCAAGTGCATATCAAACACACTAATAATCCCAATGCTGTCTCATCTCTCATTCCAAACCCTAACAACAACAGCAGCAGCAGCGGTACCATTATCAACAACAACAACAACAACAACGGCAGCAACAGCAACAGCAGCAGTGCTGCCAACAGCAATAACAATAACAACGTTAGCAGCAGCAGCAATGGCATAAAGACAACAATTGGCAAGAAGACGCCAGTAATACTGCTGGCCGCACGTGGAGCAGTTCACAAATCGCAGCAGCAGCAACAACAGCAGCAGCATCCGCCACTCGCCCTGCTGAATAGCAGCCAAGCGGGCGCCAAGCCAGCGGTCACCTTGCTGCGCGTCAATGCGAATGCCAACCGCAGTCGCCAGGTTATCATTACGCCAGACGCATCTAACCTGCAGCAACAGCAACAACAGCAGCAGCAACAACAGCAGCAGCAACAGCAGCAGCAGCAACAACAGCAGCAGCAAGAGCAACAGCTGATCGAGGAAGAGGAGCTCATTGATGAGGATGTCTATGATGATGCGGACACACTGAATGCCACCCTGTGCTCATCGACAGCACAAATCCTGCGCAAATTTCGCATACCCAAGGGCACAGCACTGACAGCCAAGCCGGCGGATGGTTATCTGGCCATGCCTACGCCCACGCCTTCGCCGCCCATGGGCGCAACTGGAGGCAACGCTGCTCTAGACGCAGCCAGCTATGTGGACAACACAGACGACATCATCGAAGAGCTCAACGAGGATGATCTGGTGGAAGAGGTCATCGACGAGGAGGCGACTGGCTGCGAGGAGCAGCAGGTGCTGGAGCAAACAGTTAACGACAGCGACGGCCTTGATCTCAGCAGCGGCAGCAACAGCAATCAGAATGCGACAGCAGCAGCGGTGGCAGCTGCAACGACAACATCTGCCATGCTGCTGCAACAGCCGCAGCAGCAGCAGCCGGCGGCGCTGCAGCTGCAAACCGTGGGACCCAATGGCACTGTCACCTGCTTCAATCTGCCACCGAACACCATATTGGTGCAGTCAGCCGACGGCAGCATTATAGCGCATCCCAGCAAAGCTGGCCAGCAGCAGCTGATTGTGTTGCCCGCGGACTGGCCGACAGCCAATATGGCCTTAGCCGAGCCGACAGCAGCAGCAACAGCAGCAGCTCAGCCAGCGCAGACGCAAACGCAAACGCTGTTGCTGACGGCCGACGGCACCGCCATACCAATTATGGCGCCGCTGCAACAGCATCAGCAACACCACCAACAACAGCAGCAGCAGCAACAACAGCAACAGGCTGCAGCTGTTGCTGCTGCAGCGCAACTATTCGCCGCGTAGGGTCTAATGGGTGGCCAAATGGGTCGATTTTTGAACAATGCCACGATAATGCCAACCACATATTTCTTTTAAATCTCCAGCCAGTTGCACCTGCCGCAGAGCAGCACGTGGCACAGCTCGTTGTGTTGCTCTGCTGCCAGCTGCAACAAATTCCTAGATTTCTATCCACAATTTTCCACTTGCCCCGCCTCCATTTACGTAGGGCATCTACCGAAAATCGACGCATTTGGCCACCAAAGAGAGCAGCATTATATGAAGGGAAATCAAAACAAAATAAAATTTATATGTAAACAATAAAAGCCAAGTTAAACTTTAAAAGCAGCCACAACTCAATTGAAAAGCTTTGCGAGCATGTGAAGAAAAAAACACAACTGATATTACATAATGTTAATGTGCATACCAAATTTATTTTTCTATATATATACATATATACATAATACATTAAGCATTCAGAAGAATCCTATACATATACGTATGTCTATGTATATAGTATATACATATATATAACTCATGTTTATGTTTATGTTGTGCGCAAAAAGTAAAGCGGAGAAGGCAAGGAAGTGTTGATCATAATGTGAGCACACACACACACACACACACACACAGATATGCCTAAACGCATACACACGCGCACTCACTCACGCACAGCCAGTGTTGTGCAATGAATTCTGTAAATTTCAAACATTTAAATTATTTTCTAAGCATTAAGCCTATATTTAAGTGCAAAAACAAAATAACCAAACATACGACACCCGAGCCCAGTTTTCTAAATAACATTTTGACCGGGCGCTGCCAGCAAGAGCTCAGCGCCAGACAAAATTTATGTTTAACTTAATTTAATAACTACTAATAAAACAGGCAACCTAATCTGTATTATTTGCTAAAAAAAAAAAAAAAAGATAGAATATATACT